TGTGTGTGTGTGTGTGTGTGTGAGAGAGAGAGAGAGGGGGTCACATCACAGTGGAGTCAGCTGTCTTAACCGTGGCTTGTGTACTGCAAACATATACCAGCTTCATCACTGTCTGGCACGCGACTCTGTTCCCCTTTCGGGCTCTGTAAAATAAATAAATGTTATTTACATTTATTTTGAAAGCTGACGTTCGCGATTATGGTAAGGGGCGTTACATTTCCGACGAGTGCTTGCGGTGTTCGGCCAATCACAATGCACTGGGTCAGCTGGCCAATCAGAGCAGACTGCGCTTGTCGGAAGGAGGGACTTTGTAGAAAACGAAGCGTTTGAGAGAGGCGGGGCATTGAGGACCTACAATAATGTACAGTATTTGAAAAATAATGTGTTTTTTGAACATTAAAGCATGTTAACATATTCTGTTACACCAAATACACAAAATAATGATCTTTAAAAAAGCATCATATGACCCCTTTAATTTATTTGGAATGCCAGATGAACACATTATCCGAACATATCGTTTGCCAAGCCATGTTATTTTTAATTTGCTTCAGGAAATAAAAGACGGCTTGGAACCCTCAACTAGAAGTCACGCAATACCAGGTCTAGGGTTGCAAAAAGGTGGAAAATTTCCCGTAAATTTCAGAAACATTCCAGAAATTTTGGAAACTTCCCAGTATTTTTTTGAATCTTCCAGGAATTTTTGGAAAGTTTCCGGAAATTTACTGGCAATTTTCCACCCCTTGGCAACTCTAACCAGGTCTATCAAAACTTCGTGCAACCCTTCATTTTTTGACCTCGGGTTCTTTTCAACATACTGTGGCTTCTTTATTCTTTATTTGCGACTGCGCTAATTTGCGTTGCGCTTGGTAGATTGCGTTGGTCGATATGTAAATGAGATGTTGCGTCTGTGTTCTTTAATTTGTGCATTGTCAGTGAATCACCTGCAGAAATTTCCATGCCCATCGGCGCTGTTTTATAATTGTGCTCTCACGCTAATTTGCCCTGTTTAGTAAAACTAAGCATTTATAGATATAATGTAAAAACATACCACTTTCCCTCACTGTTCTCAAATTGTTGGACGGTGTATCCGAACATGTCCTCCACTGGTCCACTGAATGACATCTGGTTCTTCTCGTCTACATTGAAACATGACAACCATGGCAGCAGAGCTATCAAGAAACATACAATAAAAAAGACAACATAAGTATCACATACGTACAATATGCATCTCACTTTATCTTATAAATAAGACTAAGGGTCAGTTTGTCCAATAAAAAAAAAACTTTTCCAATGAGCAGATAATATAAATGCTAGTATTTACTAGCATGAATGGAACATTAGCCTACAAGTTAATGCAATTACTCAGCTGTTTATTAATTGTTAAATATTTATAATGAATATTAATATAGATAAGTAAATAAACACACAGACTTTCCATTTCCCTTTTCTGTTTTGGGAGAGAGAGAGAGAGAGAAATAGTGCCAGTTGTTCATGCCCAGTTGTGTGGGATTGAAACATGCAAATCCTACGAGGAGCAATACACGCATAGTAGGCAGAGGAATTTCACAGAGCAATGCGGAGTAGCCGTCCTGACCCCTTGGACAATGTCCTCTTCATAAAGACCACCAGAGTCTGACTTTTAGTACTGTATATAAAAGGAGAACTAAATATAGTGTTTAAATGCTTCATTGTGCAGCAGCCACAGAGAGTCTTTTCACATGTTGTGTGCAACGGAATTCCAGTCATGATTTATTCAATTCCAGGATTTGGAAGGGAATTGTGAAGATTAACAAATCACTGTGGTGTTGAGTAGATGGCTGGATCTGGGTGAGAATACGAAGAGACAGAAATCCAGTTGTGCTGCCTTACGTCTGCTGATAACAGTCATGTTCTGAGCTAATGAATGTAGAACATGTAGTCATGGCTCAATGAGGAAACAGAGAGGCAGTGTATGTTCGTGGGTCACGCCTCGTATGAATGTCCACTCAACAGTAATTAAGATTTCCAGCCAAGCCTCCAAACCCGCTTTCCATTGAGTCTTAACTTCTGAGGACGATATGCATGAAGAGTGACCATCTGAAAGACCAGACCAAAGACCATTTATACACTCAGCACTATGACAGGCAAGACACAACCAATGTATTCTGGAAAAACAAGCAGAAGGAAAAGAAGACGAAAAGAAGAGGAAGCGCAGAAGAAGAAGAAACGTTCATTTGAGACGTGCTGACCAGTGGCACTTTCTTGGCCGGAGGAACTACTGTTGTGTTTTGAGTGAGATTTGCAAGTTAGATAAGCAGAATGAATTTCCTCTGCAATCTAGACGGAAGCAGTGCGTTTCGTAACAAGAGAAAGAACAAGAGCTGAACACGAAGACATTCAAAATACGAAGGTGAAGAAGAAGACCAACACAAAGCCGATGAACACAATGAAGCTGTAGACGAATCTAAAGATGAAGTTGAGGCTAAGAAGAAGCTAATAAAAGTGAAGCTCAAGAAAATTACGATGCAGAAGAGGCTGAAAAGGAGCTAAAATAAGGCCCAGAAGCTCAATGAGGCCAGAAAGAATCTGAGGAACGTGAAGACATATAACGATGAAGAAGATAAATAAGAAGCTGAAGAAGAAGAACATGAAAACGACTAAGAAGAAGCTGATAAAATTGAAGCTCAAGAAAATGGAGCTGCAGAAGAAGCTGAAAACGAGCAATTGAAGCTCAAGAAGGCTAGAAAGAATCTGAGGAACGTGGAGATATAACAATGCAGAAGATGAAGAAGCAGCTGAAGAAGAAGAACATGAAAAGACACTGAAGAAGATGACTACGAAGGAGATAAAGAAGAAGACAATGTGCAATAGAACACGTTTTACTGCAAACTAATAAATGTGTTTGGAAAAACAAGAACAGAAAGAAGAAGAAAGTGAAGAAGAAGACAGAATAATAAGAGAAAGAAATGGAATGAAGAAGAAGAAGAAAAGGATGATGATGATGATTCAAAAGAAGTTGTAAAAACCTCAGAGGAGAAGCTGAAGAAAAATAAGAAGACAAAGAACGATAACAGGAAGAAGTTGAAAGAAGAAGAAAAAGGGCTAGACGAAGAGAACAAAGTGATGAATCTGAAGAAAAAGCTGCAAAAACATCAAAGGAGGAGCTGAAGAAAAACAGTGCATATTTGAGAAACTGAAAGTCAGCTAAACAACAAATGTCCAACAATCATGTTTCGGAAAAGCAAGAAGAGTGCTAACAAAAATAAGACAAAGAGGCAGGAGAAGATGACATACTGAAGTATGACAAAGACGAAGAAGAGATGTGCCAACCCGTTCCCATCCTGAGGGGCAGCTGTTCTGTTTTGGGTCGGATTTGCAAGTTAGATAAACAGAATGAATTTCCTCTGCAATCTACTGACTCTGTAAACAAAGACGTAGAGGGCCAAAGGCAACCGGACAGCTGGCTTCCTCCTCACAGACACACACCATCCTCTAAAAACCAGTAGAACTGACTCCTCTCTTAATGAAGAGGGTGTTTGTAATGTAGAACGAGAGGAAAAGGCAAGACTTCCTGCTGAGGTTTAATGCAGGACGCTCTCTGAGCTAGTGCTCTGCAAACACACCCAACACTTATGCAAACACAGCGACACACACATAACCTTGGGAATACATGGAAAGCCAGGCCTTTAAAACACTTACATTGGGGTTCAATCATTTTTGCTGGATTCATGCTAATGGTGAATGGGAATGTATCATCCATTCCCTCAATAGACGCGATTGATTTCAAGCCTCAGCAGTATGTCAGAGAAAATACAAATGCAATTAGGTGATTCAAGATGGCCACCAGCCAAAGAGGCCCTTTGCATTGATCACAGATGGGGAAGACGCCCAGACACATGGATCACAGCAGTCCAAGAACACAATTTATAGTCAAGACTCAGGTGTTCAGGGGTTTCTTACTCTTAAAGAACAGCAGAATCCCTCCGGACCATAGATGGAATATTAAATAAATATTAACTGAACATAAAAACTATGAAGCACCAAACAGGAAATCATTATATAAAATCTGACTATATAAATGTAAATTGTGAATACATAATTGCATTAGAATATATTTTTATAAATCTGAATATAGAAATGTAAATCAGAATATATAGTTGTAAGTCTGAATATCAAAATATATCCTTATAAATCAGAATATAAAGATAAAAATCTTAATATATAATTGTAAACCATGAATATATAGAAGTACATCTGAATATTAATTTTGGCATATTTCATTTACATTTGTGCTTATGCATGAAAGAAACTCTCTCAGCTAATTCTGTAAATGCAGTGTTTAATATTACTGAAATACTATTATTTTTATTAATATTTTTAATATAGTTTTTTTAGTTTCCTTTTTCATTTTAAATTTTCTCTGAAGTTTTAGTCATTTTGTTGTGTTTTTGTTATTTTTAGTTCTAGGTTTTTATGTCTATATAGTTTTTATTCACTTTTATTTCAGTGTTAGCTTTAGTTATTTTAGTACGTCAAGTTAAAAATAAAAACTTAAATTAAATGACGAAAGCAACTAGCTGAAATATAAAAGTTTTTATTTATATATTATATTATTTATATTTTAACAATGGTTATGGTTGTAATTGTTATTTTAGTCAACTTTTATACAGGGCAGTTTTTCAGAATGATTTAAACTGGTAACTATTTACAATCCCATGAACAAATGTAACTATTTTATGATTTGATTCATACAAAAATGTATGATTTTTAGAAAAAAAAAAAAAGAAAGTAAGCAAGAAGGTCCACCGCTAAACCTAACCCTCAGTGGAGCCTAAGCAGGCCATATAAAAATACAAATGAGATTGTACAAATTCATACAAAATTAATTCACCACCAATTTGCCAAAATGTAAAGTAGTTACAAATTGCCATGAGAGTGTGTTGACTGCTTATTAAAAGAACTGGCTCACAAGAATCATTTGTTTTGGAAATCGGACTGCACTGGTCACGCTGTATGTTTTTGCATTTGTTGTGAATCAAATTATACTGGTCACACTGTTTCTGATTTACTGAAAAGAACTAGCTAATTTGAGTCATTTGTTTGTGAATCAAACTACACTGGTCGCACGCTATATTTTTGATTCACTACAAAGTACTAGGCAAGAATAGTCATTTGTTTGTGAATCGGCTACGTTGTATGTTGCTTTTGTGTGCAGCCTGTGAAGACAACTCAAACACATTTCTTGCCATTATTTCGTGACACACAGTCTTTTCAATGCAGAAAGCAACATAGATAATACATGATTCTGTTTAGGCTCTAGATTATAAAGACATGGGGAAATGAGGGAAAATGTTTTTTATTCATCTTATTCACATGTGTAGAGCACTTCCTGCAAGTCACACTTGAGCTTCTGCTAAATGATTCAAATATAAATATAATGCACGTTCGTTCATACAAGACAGGACATCCTTTATGCATGCATGCAGGGGTAAAGTGTGAAAAAAAAAAAAACTATAGCCCACACAAAGCAGAACTTTCTCCATCCAATTTACGAAAAGCACATGAAGACAATACTAAAGAACTGCTGTCAGCAGCTTTGTGTTTTCTGTGTTGCAAAGTTCCAAAAAGCATGCATGACTGTGACGAGAGGGGCGGGGCCGAGAGCCGTGGGAACGGAGCGAGGCCGGTGGAGTAAATGCTAATGCGTGACACCTGCGCCACTCACCGGTCTCAAGTCCCACGGAGGAGCTCCGGAAGGATAAAAGGAGGAGTGACGACAGTGAAAGACGAGAAGACAATACTAAAGAACTGCTGTCAGCAGCTTTGTGTTTTCTGTGTTGCAAAGTTCCAAAAAGCATGCATGACTGTGACGAGAGGGGCGGGGCCGAGAGCCGTGGGAACGGAGCGAGGCCGGTGGAGTAAATGCTAATGCGTGACACCTGCGCCACTCACCGGTCTCAAGTCCCACGGAGGAGCTCCGGAAGGATAAAAGGAGGAGTGACGAGGAGGAGAGAGGACCAGGCCTGGATTTTATTTTGTGTTTTGTGTGTGGCAGTCGTCCGCGAGGGGCTGCCGCTTTACTTTCATTTTGTTTGTGTTTTTTTTATTAAAGTCTTTAAATGTTCGCCAGTTCCCGCCTCCTTCTTCCCGTGACTACGAACTGTGTTACAATGACCTTTCATGTTTTCAT